TAACAGCATCTTTCTGCCCCTTTTAGTTTATGCAGCTCACTCAGGGAGGGCGGGCAGCACTCACACCCTTATCCTAGTGCCCTTGAGCCCAGTACTGTATCATGAGTCAGTCCCAGCATCACACACTCAGATCAAGCCTATGCCCACACAAGGCTTTGGGGGACATCCAGACTCAAACCAGAACACAAGGCGAGCTCGTCTTGTGTGCACAAACGTTACACTGTCTTCTCTTTTGTTTTTCCTCCACACAGCCTAGACTGGCCTTGAACTTGTCATCCTCGTGCCTCAGCTTCTGAGCGTTGGAAATACAGGCATGTGCTGCCTATTACTGTTTTTTCTTTTTTTTTGATACTGGGGATTGAACTTGGGACCTTGTACTTTCGAGGCAGGCCATGCAACCACTAAGCTAAATCCCTCACCTTTCTTAATAGTGTTGTAGACAAAGAAGCAAATAAGGAATTATAAATTGGGTGTGTGGCACATGCCTATAACCCCAGCACTTAGGAGGCTGAGGCAGGAAGATCACTTCCAGTTTAAGGCAGTGAGTACAAGGCCAGGCTGTAGAGAGATCCTGTCTCAAACCAAACCAAACCAAAAAATTGAGCCTTTTCTGGCAAGAACAGGCCCCGGGCCCAAGCTTTTTACTGCGCAGCCTGCTCTTCCATCTCTGAGTTTGAGCTGAGAGCTTCTGCAGAGTCCTGAGGGATGGGACCCCAAGACCATATCCATGTTGGGGACCATGGAGCCCAGGGCCTTGTGCGTGCTAGGGACACACTCCACAGCTTCGGCCCAGCCTGCCTTCCACTGTTAATCCCAACTTCCGGTGGGGAACTTCAGACAAGTAATGCTCATAAAAAAGGAATAAAAATTAAAAAGTAGGACGTGATGCTAGTAACCAAGGCCTGCTAAGAACGCAGCCATCTGCTGTAGCCGTTTCAGTGGATGAATCCGGTGGTTCTTGAGAAGAAACACAGCCCTTTACAGTGAGTACCACGTGTTCATCTTTACAAAGTTACCCACTGATGCATTACCTTTTTCACACAGAAATTAACATTTTAAAAAGCTGTTTCGCAGCCAAGCACTGGGCTGGGCACTTCGTGTTCTGCTCAACTTCCACAACTTTCAGTTTTTCCCTCAAGGAGGTCTTCACCTTACCAGGCTAGGATTGACCCATCACCCCCAAAGTCCCACCTCTTCCTAGGACTTGCACAAATTTATACTGGGTGTTTGTACGCAGAGCCACACCTGTTACCCAGCTACCCGGGAGGATGAAGCAGCACTGCAAACTGAGGTTGGCTGAGAACTCAGTAGCTTGTCTCAGAAAGGGAGGTTTGCTGGGGACGTGGGTTCAGTCCCCAGTACCACACACACACAGCGGGTGTCCGTGAACGGTCCTCTGGCCTACCTGCCTCTGGCCCACTAGGTTCCAGGTGTCGCCTCTCTAACAGCCAGTCGGTCCCCATCAGAGCCCTGAACACTCCTCACTCTCAGAGGCACTGAGTCTACTTCCTGCCATTCTACACTGCCTAATCACATTGAAAACTAGTCTGGTGGGTTAGAACTTATTTATTTTTGAGACAGGGTCTTGCTGTATAGCCCGGGCTGGTCCAGAACTCCAGGCGATACTCCCAGGAATTGCTGGGATCATGGGCATGTGCCGCAGTGCCCAGTTTAAAGGGTTCTCCACCATTCTGTCCACCATACAGTCTCAACTTTTCTTATACTTATGGGCAATAACCAGATTTACTGATTGTAACAAGCCACTGAGCCTGGGGCTGGGGACATAGCTCAGTGGTTCCACCACCTGCCTTGCATGCACACAGTCCAAGTTCAATTCCTGGTATAAGTAAATAAAAATAAAGTACTGAGCCTAAGAGAATTTGATGAAGGCCTTATAACCATTGCATGAAAGGAGTTAAGTTTTATACATATAGTATGGGACCTCACCTGTTAACATATAGTGAGATTACTCACCCAATTTAAACTAATCTACTGTGTCCATTAGTTTGGGGAAGAAAAAATATTCCTTTAGAAGCCTAGTCCTAAATACTCTACCAAGGGGGAAAAACCAAACCTCTATAGTTTAGACAATTAAGAAAATACACCTCATCTGGTTTTTCATTTAATTTGTACAGATCTGAATGAGCAGTAACTTAGATATACAGTGTATTTTCCATTCTGAATTCTCTAACATTTCCCTGGAAACAAGGCATGAATCTGACTGGAGCCACGTCCTCACCCAAACTTACTCTGCAGCCCAGCGAGAGGCAGGAGTCCAACTCTTACAGCAGCCACATCGCTACCTTCACCATCTTGCCAAGTGATGTGGAGTGCACCATACCAGTGCTTTCCTCAGAACAGACTGGCCCAGGTGCCATACTTGGCTCCAACAGTTACCTACAAATTCCTACCTGAACTGCAAAGGCAGTAGCATTTAGAACTAATAGAACACAGCCAAATTAAGCTTATGGTGACAGGAAACTGTTTAGCTTGCATTCCTTGCTTGAACCAGTCCCAGTCTATCAAAATAAATATGGGAGAATCAGCTTTAATAGCCAGACTGCCTGAGCCAAAGAGGAGATGGGCCGGGGCCCAGCTCAGGGTAAAGCACTCCCCTAGCAGGCATGCCACCCAGGTTCAATCCTCAGCCCCTCCCTGCCCAGTAAGTACAAATAAAGATCATCTAAACAAAGCCAGAACACAACCTCGAGGCACCTTCCAACTAACAGTCTTTATTCTTTGACCCAGTCATCCCTTCCTAAAACCATAGGGTCTTAAATTAACTTTGATCATTTAACCAAAGTTTCTGAAAAAGAACCACCAGGAAATAACATCAATTTCAGACATCAAATGGGTCCTCAGCTGCCAGTCCACATCTTGGCCCTGCTGCGGTCCAGGTCAGGTGACCAAAGGGCACACTCAGGCCTTTGTCACCACATCTCCTCAGCCATTAGTGAGCTCTGATTTCTTGGAGATTCTAAAAACACTTTACAGAGCGCTGTGGTGATGCTTCCAATAATCACCTTTCTTCACATTCGTCGATGTTTATTTTCCTCGTACACTCAAAACCTTGTAGAAAGTTGGAGCTTTCAAAACACTAACGACCCAGCAGTACAACACAGAACTTCCTGTCATGGTGCCTTTAACCCAGTCACGTAATCAATCTCTCCAAGGCATTGAAATGCAGACTGACCAGCCTTGCATTGGCTCAGAGGAGGGAGGAAAACAGCATCCTGGTTTAAGAGAAATACTGGTTTAATTATAATCATTTCTCTTTTTTTGTTTTTTGAGACAGGGTTTTGCTCTGTAGCCCAGGCTAGCCACCAACTCTCAGTAATTCTGCCTCAGCCTCCAGAGAGCTGGGATTACAGTACGAGCACCACGCCCAGCTATGATTATTTGTTTTTTTCTCTTTTTTTGCCAACATAAAGGACCTCCAGAAGTTCATAGGAAACACTTGTTGGTCATATAAAAGTGGTGAAATTATCCCCACCTTTAGAGTTTTATGACCCTGAAATTGCAACTGTACTTGTCCTTTTAAATTGGCTTTGACTTAACAGCGAGAGCAAGCAGGCAGGAGCCCACATAACACAGGGTTTCTGCATGTCTAGTGATGATACTGCACAGTTAAAGCAGAAAAGCCAAGAACATCTTGCACCACAGCAACCTTAAGGACTGCTAGGAACTAAGGCCATGATCAGGACCATCTCAGTGCTTTCTCATCTAGTCCCTCCCATACCATGGCAACCCTTTTCAGCTTTCTCCCCTTGCCTGGGAATATCCAGTCTGATGCAGAAGCTGGTACTTACTGTCTTTCCTGGTATGTACCAAGTATTAACTTTTTTTTTGGTACAGGTGAAATCGAACTTGGGAGCTTGTGCTTGGCGAGGCAGGTGGCAGAACCACTGAGCTAAATCCCTGGCCCAGTATTAACTTCTTTTTTTTTTTTTTTTTTTTTTTTCTC